AATTAATTAAAAAATGGAATCTCAAGAAAGAAGGGGGAGATAGTAAGACCTGGAGAGGACAGGAGCTCCACAAGCATAGCAACAGAACCAAAATATCAGGGCACAGGGGTCTTTTCTGAGACTGATACTCCAACCAAGGTCCATTCATAGAGATAACTTAGAACCCCTGCACAGATGTAGCCCATGGCAGCTCAGTGTCCAAGTGGGTACCCTAGTAAGGGGAACAGGGACTGTGTCTGACATGAGCTCAGTGGCTGGCTCTTTGACTGCCTCCCCTGGATGGGGGAGCAGCCTTGCCAAGCCACAGAGGAGGACAATGCAGCCAGTTCAGATGAGACCGGATAAGCCAGGGTCAGATGGAAGGGGAGGAGGACCTCCACTATTCAGTGGACTTGCAGAGGGGCATGGGAGGAGATGAGGGAGGGAGGGTGGGATTGTGAGGGGAGGAGGGAGAGAGCTACAGCGGAGATACAAAGTGAATAAACTGTAATTAATATAAAAAATAAAAATTTAAAAAATGTCTGAGGCGTCTTCTCTGGTGAACAGCTCAGAACAGGTATGTCCGTCCTCCATTTTCCTCAGTGGAAGCTGTCTGATTGCTGCCTTTATGTGTTTACAATGTCATCTTTCTAGTCAGATGTTTTTAAACATTCTTTACCTGATTATTTTACAGATGATCAGGTTTCTGCAAATGTGTGCGTGTTTACATTATACAGTTGTTACATGAAATTTTCAGAATATTCTCTTGTAACTGTTTTACTTCACAAGTCAAATAAGTTTTTACTCCAAATGCCTCTCTTTCATTTGAGATTAAATAGTTGTAGGAGTCCCTTTGTTCTTGGTTGATCTGCATAAAATCTCTCAAGGTCACTTTGAAAAGAACTTTGTTTTGATTGATTTTCCCTATTGTTTCTACTCTGTATTTAATTCTTGCTGAACTTCATTCCACTTTTCTAGCTTTACACTTGGTATTCACACATTATTTATTGATTTATCTTTTGTATTATTTTGTATATATTAATGAGAAATGTGTTGTTAGCTGGGTTTGATGGCTCATGCCTTCAGTCCCAGCATTCTGGAGGCACAGGCAGGCAAATCTCTGAGTTAGAGGAATCTGGTCAACAGAGGAAGGTTCAGCACAGGCAGGACTACACATAGACACCTTGTGTTGAAAAAAAAAAAAAAACAGAAAGGAAGGAAGAATGTGTTGTTTGTGGTCAAAGGGCCAAGAAGGTGAGTCTGCAGAGTACCTGCCCACTGCTGGCACAGCTCCATCACAATTCCTGCCGCTGCGACTCAGGAACCATCATGAAGAGGAATGCCTGCTTAGGTGTTTACAGCAGGTAGTCTTCCTTGCTTTAGTTGAAAAACTTACTGTTATTTTATCTGTAGTCCTCCTTAATGTTTATTTTTATTACATGTTTATGGGTGCTTTGCCTGCACATATGTATGTGGACCATGTCATGCAAAGCTGACAGAAGCCAGAGACATCTTATCCCTAAAACTGGAGTTACAGACCATTGTGAGCCTCATGTAGGTGCTGAGACTTGAACCTATATTCTCTGGAAGAGCAGCCAGTGTTCTTAACCACTAGCCATCTCTCCAGTCCCTAAAACAACTTTTTTTTTTTTAAATCAAGACAGAATGTTGAGAAGTGGTTAAGTATAGAACTGGAAGGAATAAGGGAAAAGCATGGGCCATAAAAATGATTAAAATACATGTATACAGTAATGACAACGTCAACAAATAAAAATGTCCGGGTTTAGAAATGTCCAGTTTAGCAATGTCCAGTTTAGCCAGGGGCAGTGGTGCATGCCTGCAACCCCAGGACTCAGGGAGGCAGAGGCAGGTGTATCTTTTTAAGTTCAAGGCCAGCCTGGTCTACAAAGCAAGTCCAGGACAGCCAAAGCTACACAGAAAAGCCGTGTCTCAGAGAAAAAAAAAAAAAAAAGAAATGTCTGGCTTAACTATAGAGACCCACTATGCAGAGAGTGAGAGACATTGCAACATTCAGCCATCAATAGGATGTTTCCAACAAATCCCTCCTCTCAGAGCCCAGGGAATCCAGTGGAAAGAGGAAGCAGAAAGACAGTAAAAGCCAGAGGGCATGAGGACACCAAGAAAACAAGGCTGTCTACATCAGCATGAGCAAAGCTCACAGGAAGTCACAGGGACTCAACCAGCAAGCACGGGACCTGCAGGGCTTTGTACCAGCTCCTCTGTGCTTATGGCTTCCAGTTTGTGTTTTTATGGGAATCCTGACCGTGGGAACAAGTTTGTCTCTAATCTTGTCCATTCTCTTGGGCTCTTTTCCTTCTGCTGGTCTGTATTATCTAACTCCAATGTGATAGTTTTTGTTTTATCTTGATATATATATATATATTTCTTATATATATATATATATACTTTATATATATACTTTATATATATACTTTATATATATATATTATATATATACTTATATATATATAAGTATATATTCATATACTTTTATATATATATAAAAGTATATGAATTAATGAATGAATGAATGTAAACCCAGCCACTAGGGTGGAAGTTAACAATGAACTGTTAACTGTTAACCAGTTTTCTTCAATGGAGTGACACTGGGAATATCAAGAGTAGTTGACCAGCAAGTGAGGGATGTCACAGTTTTTGTGTGTCTGCCTTTATCTGGCTATAGCTGGGTGGGGTTTTGGTTGTTGTTGTTTCTTTGTGGGTGCTGTTGAATTTTGTTTTCTAGGTTCTGGGTTTTTTGAGAAACAACTGGAAGTTGGGTGGGTAGGAAGGAGGAGAGGATTTGGATGAACATGGAGGAGGGGAAGAATATGATGAAAATGTTTTAAATAAAAAATGGTCTTAAATAATGAAAAATAAAAATACTACTTACACATGGTAGTTATAAACTCAATATATATCATGTATTGCATCTACTGCTTGAGGAAGAAGGGGCTTTTGTTTCCTGTCTTTCCAGATCCCCATGAGTACCACCTAAATGTGCCCTGAGTTAGAGCCCTGTCTCCTCACCAGGGCCAGCAAGTACCAAAACCTATAGGTTCTTAGCTGGGCCTGTCATTTTGAGATAAATCAATGTGATTCCAATAAAACTGCTGAGGGGCTGAAATACCAGATTTTAAAAATGTAATGTTAAATGTTTATATTCTTGTAGGTTTCTCGATTTTCTTCTGCCCTGGACAGGCAGCTTTCAGACTCCGGAGTTTTCTGTGCCATATTTGCTGGGATTCAGGAATAAGGTCTCCTAACATCACCCATAGCCTTGTGCCGCCATCAACCCTGAGCCTCCAACAATGCTGGTGCCCTGAACTCCGGCCAGTCCCACTGTGCTTCTCAACATGGCTGCTGCAGCATCCCACAGAGCAGCAGGGACTCTGCACACTTCCCAGAATGCTTTGCTGTTACACCCACTCGTCACATGAACTTCTCTGAGGTTTTTCATCACTACTCCTCTACTACCAGATTTAACCACCCTAGGTTTTCCTTGTCTCATAGTATGGCTATCCTCTGACCAGTTCCAGGAAACCATCCCTGGACTGCTACATCAGGTCCAGGAGATGTGACATTGTGTTATTCTATTTCCATTCTGTTGCTGTGATAAAACACTCTGGGGAAACTAACGTAAGAGGAAACAGATCTTTGTCAGTGTTCTATTGCTGTGAAGAGACACCATGACCATGGCAACCCTTATCAAAGAAAGCATTTAATCGAGGCTGGTTGACGGTTCCAGAGGTTTAGTTTATTATCTCATGGTTGGGAGCACGGTGGTACACAGGCAGACATGATAACTGACAGTTGTACAGCCAGATCTAAAGGCAGCAAGAAGAGAGAAGGTCTGAGATTGAATGGTCTTCTTGAAACCTCAACCCATCCGCAGTGACACATTTCCTCCAGTAAGGCCATGCCTACTCCAAAAGGCCACAGTCCTAATCTCTCTAAGGTAGTGCCACTCCCTTAGGGCCAAGCATTCAAATGTTTGAGCCTATGGGGACCATTCTTACTCAAAACACCACACTGCACTCCATGGTCCCCATAGGCAAAATGCCTTCAGTCCAACTTCAAAAGTCCCCGCACTATACTACAGCCTCAACCCCATTTAAAAGCCCAGAGATGAAAGTTTCTTTTGAGACTCAAGGCAACCTCATAATTGTAACCCCCATAAAATTAAAATTAGAAAACAGATCACATACTTCCAACATAACATGGCACAGAACACGCGTTACCATTCTGAAAAGGCGGGAAGACAGCATAGTGAGGAAATGGGCCAAAGCAAGATGGAAATGCAGCCGCTCAGACTTCAGACTCTCCACGCCCCATGTCAGGTGCTCTTCAGCCCTCTCACCCTTTCACCTTTGCTGTCTGCAGCACACTTCTCTCCCTTGGGCTGGTTCCACACCCTGATCTCAGCTCTTCTTGGCAGGTGTGCCATGACTGGCACCTGCAAACTCTTGGGGTCTCTAATGAAATCCAGGCTTCACCTTAACACCTCAATGAGCCTCCATGCAAGCACACTCCTGACACATCTGGCCTCAGGAGCTTTACTCAGCCCAGAACGGAGATTCCAAAACCCCTTTGTTGTATCCTTGACACTCAAGGCAGAAACACATGGCCACAACTGCCAAGTTTTTCTGCTTCATGAGGCTGAACTATGGGTCCATCATTCAAATACATTTTCATCAGCTTTCTGTTTTTTATAATCCTATATACACTAATGAAATAGAATCAGTCATCAAAAGTCTCCTAACCAAAACAAGCCTAGGGCCAGATGGTTTCATCAGAGAATTCTACCACTTCAAAGAAGACCTAATACCTATACTCTTCAAACTCTTCCACAAAGTAGGAACAGAAGGAACATTGCAAAACTCATTCTATGAGGCCACAGTCACCTTGTTACCTAAACCACACAGAGACCCAACAAAGAAACAAAATTTCAGACCAATTTTTCTCCTGAACATTGATGCAAAAATACTCAGTAAAATACTCACAAACCAAATCCAAGAACACATCCAAAATATCATCCGTCATGACCAAGTAGGCTTCATCCCAGGCATGCAGGAGTGGGTCAGTATGTGGAAATCCATCAATGTAATCCACCATATAAACAAACTGAAAGAGAAAACAAAACAAAACAAAATAAAACGACATATGATCATCTCCTTAGATGCCAAAAAAGAATTTGTCAAAATCTAACACCCATTCATGTTAAAAATCTTAGAGACATCAGGGAAACAGGGCACATTCCTTCATTTCTTAACCATTTCTTTAAATTATTTTGAGGAATTATAAACTTAGCTGGCTATGATCTTGACCTAATGTCACAACTCCTTTCATTCCATTTTTAAGCAGGCTTTTCTTCACGGTTTTTAAAAATCTCATTGAGCACTGGACTCTCTCCATTATACTTCCTGGGGAGCCTTTTCTTCTGAAACTGCTCATTTTGTGTCTGTCCTTGCTCAGCTTGCTCCTGTTCAGTATAGATCTTCACAATAGTGACCACTAGTCACCGCAGGACACAGTCAATTCCAGGATGTCTTAAAATGTCTTCTGCCAAAGCCACGAATCCAAAACTCTTCAATTTAGCCTTAGTCAGATGTTTTGGACAGGGGTAGAAATCAACTATATTCTTAACCTAAATATTATAAGAATCATCTCTAGGTCACTTAATAATAGCTTTCTCCTCTGAAATCTCTTAATCCAGGTTGTACTAATCCATATTGCTCTAGGTGCCACTGTCTTCCATGCTCCTACTAGTTTGGTACTTAAGTGCAGTTTAAAATGTTCGACTACATTTGTTTGCTTTCCTAATCCAAAGTCCCAGAGTCCCTATTCTGCCCAAAGCAGTGTGGTCAGGCCTGTCACAGCAATACCCCACTTCCAAGTACCAATTCTATCCTGGTCAGTGTCCTATTACTCTGAAGAGACCCCATGACCATGGCATCGTTTATAAAATAAAGCATTTAGATGGAGCTTGCTTAGCATTTCAGAGGTTTAGAGCATTTTCACATGGTGGCAGATATGGTAACTGAGAGGTCTCCATCCCCATATACAGGCAGCAGGAAGAGACAGACTCTGGTCTTGGAACTGCCTTTTTAAAACTGCACAGGCCTCCCCCAATGACACACTTCTTCCAGGAAGGCTACACCTACTCCAGAAAGGCCAGACTCCTCATTTCATATCCCATCTCCTTGGATGAGTGTGCTTCTCTGAGCCTTTTTCCATACACTCTTCTCTACCAGCTTTGGAAGTTTTGGATTCTGTATTCCAGGCAGTATGGACCAGCTTCTGACCAGGTTCCTGCAGCTCTTTCTCCAGCACATGCACATTATCTCCAGAAACTTCGGCTGTTTGCTGACCACTAAATGTCCTGTGTGTCCAAAGCATGAGGACAACGCTGAGGGTAAGTGCCTGCTCCACAACCCTGAGAACCTGAGGTGGTCCCTAACCCTGTGAAGGAGCCAGGTGCGCTCTGTCTGCTTTTACTGTCAGTGCTAAGAGGGCAGAGGCAGGAGAGCCCTGGACCACGAGTTGCTGTCTTGCCTGCTTGCGGAGTCCCAACCATTTCAGAGATCTTGTCTAATCAATGCTACTGTGGCACACTTGTAAGGGGCTAAAACAATGTTTTCTTGCTAAAATCTGGTGGTCATTGTATAAATACTTCCTTCTAAGACATTATTCTTTTTTATTATTTTTATTATTTATTGGCACATGTATGGAAGTCAGGGATGCTTTCTTTCAATCACCTTCATTATTCACAGTTCCTCATTTATCAAAAATTTTTAATTGATCAAAAATTTTAGTGGCTTTTCCTACAGATAACTAATATGTAGCTCATCCTTCTCCACCTAAGTGCCAAGTGCATTGACCTTTAGTTGTCAAGCACAAAGCTAGTACTTGGGCTCCAGCGTGATCCTGTTCATCTTCTGGTGGGGTGTACTTAGGGAGAAGGAATCTAGTGTAACCGGTTAATATAAGGTCTGTGCTGGGCAGTTTTGTGTCACATAGCTAAAGTCCTATGAGAGGATGGACCTCAGTTATAAAAATGCTTCCTTAAGCTCACGCTTACACAAGCCTGTAGGGCATTCTCTTAATTACTGACCAATGGGGGAGGGTGGTCCTTTTCTGTAAGACAGCATCAGCCCCTGCCTCCAGATTCCTGCTCTCTTTGAGTCCTGTCCAGACTTCTTTCAAGTGACAGACAGTGACTTGGAAGTTTAGGCCAAAGAAACCCCTTCCTCCCAAGTCCCTTTGGCCATGCCTTTTCATCACAGCAATAGTGACACTAACTGAGGCAAGATGGCACCAAGGTGGTGTGGTATTGCTGTGACAGACCTGTCCAGCCATGTGTTTGGGGAGGACGGTAGAAAGGCTGGAACTCTGGGCTGAAAAGGCCATTGAGCTTTGAGTGCTAACTGGAGTGTCCTTCAGGAACTTGTAAGAGCAGCTGAGGGCAGTTCAGCTGATGGAGGCCTGGCTTGAGAAGTTCAGGGAAGCGGGTACTCCCGAGCCTTTTGAATGATGAACCAATGGTTCTGGGTAGCTGGGGCTGAAGAACCAGCTGTGACTAACAAGATACCAGAACTACTAAAGTGAAGCTTTGCTTTGCTGGGCTACTAAATGCTGTAGTTGGAACTGAGATATTAGCAGTGTTCAGGAAAATAACGACATTATTGAAGTAAACTTTGCTGGACAGTGTTCCTGAGAGTCAGTGCTCAGAAGCTGTGTTCCAGACATGGCCAAGGTTGTCCCTTGTGATGGCAGCCCACTTGGTAATGTAAGCGCCACCAGGTGGTGCTGGTTCTGAAGGTGTGAAGGGGTCATGAAGAGCACCTGAGGCTTGGCACTGTTTACCAATGTTGAGGTCCATGAAGACAGCCCAGGCTAGACCACTCGTAAAGTGCAGTGGCAGCAGAAGTTCCCAGCATGCTGGAGATGACAGTTCTGTGGAGCGACCACCCCAGCAGAGGCAGAGCAGAGTGGAGCCAGCCAGCACCCAGGAGACACGCAGTCTGAACTGCAGAGGACAGGCTGGAGAGATAACTGAAGTGCTGATGAAGAGCCATGCACAGGTCAGCCTTGGACCCTGGGCCCAGCTACATTCATGGCTCTCAGTGGGGACTCCACCTTGGGCCTGTTCTCAAGGCTTTCTGGTGAAGCCAGACTCCTAAACACTTGATGAATAACAAAGTCTAAAGAACTGCACAGTGTAAGAGTTTGCAGGGAAAGGGAAGGATTGGGAAAGTCCCAGCTGAGACACAAAGGGGGATGTCCTCCCCAAGAATAGATGTGAGCTGTCTAAGTAAGTGTTCTACACTGTGTAGAGACAGCGTGACCTTGATGGCTCTTACAGAGGAAAGTGTTTAATTGAAGCTTGGAACAGCTGCAGGGGTTTATTCCATGGCCGGCATGGCGGGGAATGTGGCAGTGTGTGGCGGTTATGGTGAAGGACACGTAGCTGAGAGTTCTACATCAGGATGCACAGGCACAGGAGGAGAGAGACACTGGGCCTGGCTTGTGGGAAGCCCACCCCCAGTGATGCTTCCTCCACAAGGCCACACCTACTCAAGCAAGCACAGGCCTCTTCATTTTGATAACTAGTGCCACTCCCTGATGATTTAGCATTCAAATATATGAGCCCACGAGCACATTCTTCAAACCACCGCATAAGCCCACCCTGATTCCCCTCCTATGTTCTGCACCTCCAGTCCAGACTGCTGGCCAGATCAGTGGTCGGCCTTGAAAAGTCCTCTTGGACACTGAGCTGCCATGGGCTACTTCTGACTGGGGTGGGGTATAGGAGATGAAGTGGGAGGGGGGTGGGATAGGAGAGGTGGAGGAGGGGTCCACAGCTGGGATACAAAGTGAATAAACTGTAATTAATAAAATAAAAAAATTAAAAAAAGAAAAGTCCATCCTTTTCTGCATTTCCACAACAGCATCTTTTACAAAGCCAGCATCCACGCACACAGGGTGACGAGAGCTGTGCAGACAACAGACACTATTGCACTCTGTCTGCTGATAGCAAAGCCAGGACAGATGATCACACAACCAAGTGTGTCCTGTGAAAACTGGTGTTGTATCAGTCTTTACCTGGGGAGATGCAAACACACACACACACACACACACACACACACACAAACACAGAAACACATACACAAACACACACACAAACACACAACACACACACACACACACACACACACACAACACACACATACAACACACTTACTTACCCCAGAAATGGAACCTATCACAGGCCAAAACACCAACTGCACAAATGTCCAACTTGGAGATCCCCTGAGTGTTCTTTGGGGTTACTAACAGGAGTGAGGTGAGGGGTGACTTACAGGAGCTGGAGTGACGTCACAGGAGCTGTAGGACTGCAGAGTCCACCTCAGCACAGGCAGTGGCTCTTGAAACAGCACAGGGAAAACTGCACAGCTTGCAGGGCTCTGGACAGGTTGGCAATCTTCTCTGAAGCTAAGACGTGGTCAGAGTCTCTTCCTTGTACAGCCTGGGAGGGTAATCTAAGGCTTCTGAGTTTCAGTTCTCAGAACTGAAGGAGGAAGTTTGCTCATTTACTGGTCCTCCCACCTCCTTTGAAGACAATGCTGCAGGGAGAGGCCAGCCAACAAGAGCAACAAATGCCTTTCCCATGCAGGCAGAGGGCTTTCTCCCACAGACAGGAAAGAACCTAAGCCCAGAGAGGCAACTGTGCAGAGGACCCAGGTTAGAGTTTTTCCTGCCCCTTCCTTGTCTGCAGCACAGGGAGGTCTTCCTTCAGGGCTCAAAGTGCAGCAGGCAGTTTGCTGATACTTTATGATGTCTTCCATTTCCTGAGGGGCTTCCTCAGCAAACCACTTCTGAGTTTCACACTTCTGTCTCCAGCCAATGAGAAAGGGCCGAAAGCAGAGCAGGGTATACTTGTAAAATATCTACTCCAGTCCTCTCCGGTATCTCAGAAGTCATATGGGGTTCTGCAGAGTAAGCTGGGAGCTTCAGACTTTCAAATCTGGGAATCAACATCAAGCACTTCTGCTTGGTGCTGTGAGCACAGTACATCAGCACACTAGTGCTAGACCAGTGGCTCTCGGCCGTCCAGACGCTGTGACCCTGAAACACAGTTCCTCGTGACTCTCCATCAAGAAATCATTCCCTTGCCCCCTCAGAACTGAAGTTTTGCTACTGTTGTTACTTGTATTAAGTATCTGATGTGCAGCCTCCTGAAGGGTTCTCCACAGGCGGAGAACCGCTGCTCCAGACGGTGCGGAAGCCTAATGTCTGTCTGCAGGATGAGGTTGCTGCACAGTAAACGACTTTTTAAGGCAGAGAGCCTCCTACTCATATCTTAATCCAAAGCCCACTCTCTTCTGAGGACTTTGTAAATCAATTTTCCTCGTTTGGGAAGGGCTTTTGGAGGGCTTCAGTTTCTAATTACTGGGCCATGACTATTATGAGGACTAACAAGAGCGAAGTTTTAAAAATAATGTAGTGAAAGACAATTCTGAAAAGCAAATGCTACTGGACAAGGTAGCAAACTTAATCCCAGCCACAGGCAGAGGCATGCCTATCTCTGTGAGGTTAAGGCTAGCCTGGGGTACTAGCTCAGGCTACTGTCTGTGCTGCTGACGTGTTGCTAGACTACTAGCATGCCAAAGGTGTCGGGATGGCACTGCCTAAATGCCTTACGCCATTCCATGCACTTGTCACCTAAAATAAATAAATAAGTAACCTCAGAATTACCATCTCTCACATCTGGCTGCCTAGACATTGAGAAATACTTCAAAACATATCAGATCCTTGCCTGACCTGCACTTAGGTAAAGGCACAGAAGGATACGTTCCCTCCAGGACAACGGAGTCAAGGTACCTGTTGAATTTGGGGAAATAGATTTCACTGAAGTTAAGCAAATCCCTGCTGGCTACAAATCCCTGCTGCTCCTTGTTGATAAGGTCATAGGCGGGGTAGAGGTCATTCCCACCTGGACGGAAATGGCCCAGGCAGCAGCCAAGAAGTGAATAACAGAGATCATCTCCAGATTTGGCCTCCCTCCATCTCTGGGTTTTGACTATGGCCTGGTCTCCATGGTCAAGTTCTCTTGATTACCCTCTAAGGCTCTTAGTATAGATTGGAAACTGTTAATGTCGCCCTCAGAGTTCAGGGAACATGCAGAGGAGGAGCAGGACTTTAAAGGAGGTCTTAACTAAGTGCACTCTTGAGACTGGTGGTAACTGGGTTGAGCTTTTGCCTTGTGCTCATCTCAGGGTCCTCTGTACCTCCTGTGAAGAAAAGTTTACTCCATATGAAATGGTCTATGGGAGATCACGCCTATGATCCTTTGCTGTATGCTGGACTGTTATAAGACTGCTTCACTCCAACTTCTGAGTCCTTAAAAGGATTGCAGTTATTTATGGATAAGATTTTCCCCAGGTCCAGGCAGTCAGCCTGCTGGGTACCGAAGCTGATCTCGAGTTCCAGCTCAGAGATGCTGTGCTGGTCAGCTGCTTCAGGCTTGAGCCAGGTGGAAAGGACCTTACATCTTATTCTCTGGATGCCCGCTGCTATCAAAGTCTTGGGATTCCTGCCTGGATTCATCACTCTGACCTTAAGAAGGCACCAGAGGACCACAAAGACAGAAAAAAAAAAAAAAAAAAAAAAAAAAAAAAGA